AGCCGTGGGGGCTGCTGGGTAATATGTGCCCCCCCTCCCGCCCCCCCAAGGACTCGCCGTTCTTCCAGCGCTATGAGCTGGCGCCGGGGCCGGCGCTGGGCCAGGGCAGCTTCTCCGTGTGCCGCCGCTGCCGCCACCGCCAGAGCGGCGCCGAGTTCGCTGTCAAGATCCTCAGCCGCAGGTGGGGCTCCTGTCACCACGGCAACGGGGCTGACCTCCCCCACGGCAAGGCCGCCCAGTTGCTATGGCAACTCCCCCCCCCAGCCCTTAGGGTCCCCAGCCCCACACCCGTTCCTGGCTGCCATGGCTCCCATGGGCTATGGCAACAGTCCCCCAGTTCCCATCTCCCATGGCAATGGCCCCTTTGGTTGCCAAAGCAACAGCTCTCAAGGTTCCCCTCTCCTGTGGCAACAGCCCCAGCCATTGTTTCCTGGCAATGCCTGTCCTCATCCCCATTTCCCATGGCAATATGGCTTTTAGGGCCCCAGTTACTATGGCAACATCCCCTCACCCCCACCCATGTTCATAGTAACTTTCCCCTTCAAGTCCTAGCTCCCCATCTCCATGGCAATAGCCCCTAGCAATAACATCCCTTCTCAGGGTTTCTCTGGCAACCCCCTCCAAGGCAGTGCTCCTTAACCCCTTTGTGCCCCAGGTCTGTCTCCCTAGTTCCCCCCCCCACCCTGGTTTGCCCCCGCCCCCCGCCTAGCTGGGGTCACATTTGCCCCCCTCTTTGGCTGCCCCCAGGCTGGAAGTGAACACACAGCGGGAAGTGACCGCGCTGCAGCTCTGTGACTCCCACCCCAACATTGTCAAGCTCCACGAGGTGCATCAGGACCAGGTACAGATCCTAGAGCCGGGCGCAGCTTGTTACACCCAGCCAACACTCCTCCCCAGAGCCAGCCGCAGCCTGTTACACCCAGCCCCAGGAGCCCCCAGGAGCTGGCCACAGCTTGTTCTGCCCAGCCCTGCTCTACCCCTGAGCTGGTTGCAGCCCCTTCTACCCAGCCCAGGGTGCCCCCCAGAGCATATTACACCCACCCCAGAGCTGGCCACACTGACCTCTCCCCCCTCTCCCCACGCAGTACCACATGTACCTGGTGCTGGAGCTGCTGTTGGGGGGAGAGCTCCTGGACCGGCTCAAGCGCCAGCGCCCATTCGGGGAGGCTGAGGCCAGCGGGATCCTGCGCAGCCTCGTCTCGGCCGTTGGCTTCATGCACGAGGCCGGCGTGGTGCACCGTGACCTCAAGCCCGAGGTACAGGGTTGGGGGTAGGGGGCATGGTCTCAGATTTAGGGGGCGGGGCTCTGGCAGTGGGTGCAGGGCAAAGGGGCTGGGCTGTGGGTGTAGGGGGTGGGGTCTGGGTCAGGTGGAGCTTTGGCAGCAGTGGGTGGGGCCGTGGGGGTTGTGGGCAGGGTCTCCAGTTCAGGGGATTGGGACTTTTAACAGCAGGGGGTGGGGTCTCTGGCTCAGGGGGTGAGACTGTGGGTGCCAAGAGGAGGGCAGAGGGGGGGGTTTCATGGGCATGGGGGGGCAGGTGTGGAGCTGTGAGGGCAGTGGGCAGGCTTTGTGGGCTAGGGGCAGGGTCTCTGATTCAGAAGGTGGGGCATGGGGGTCCAGGTGGGAGGAGCTGTAGATGCAGGAGGCAGGGCTGCAGGGGTAGGGGAGGGGGTCAAGGGTGACCAGGAGGGCGTAGGGACCCTGACCAGGCGCCCTCACCCCCTTGCCCCCCCCAGAACATCCTGTTTGCAGGGGAGGCGGAGGGGGCGCCCGTCAAGGTGATCGACTTTGGCTTTGCCCGCCTGCGCCCGCCCGGCTCCCAGCCCATGCGCACGCCCTGCTGCTCCCTGCCGTATGCTGCCCCCGAGCTCTTCGATCCACGCGGCTACGACCAGGCCTGCGACCTCTGGAGCCTCGGCGTCATCCTGGTACGTGTGCCGCATCCTGGGGCCACAGAAGGCCTTAGATTGGGGATGTACACAGCACTCCACCCCAGAGCTAGCCGCATCTCAGTGCAGGGGCGAGGCTTAGGGGTCAGGGGTGGGACTCTGTGCAGGGGGGCAGGACTTGGGAGTGGGGGCAGGGCCTCGAGGCAGGGGGGGGGTTAGGGGGCACAGGGGGGGGGGC